ATAACTCACTCATGTGCACATCTATCATTAGCCGCGGAAAGGGGATGCATAAACCCTAACGACGGGAGTGCGTGCCACTGTAACGGACACGGCCTTTCATTAGGTCTTAAGGAGACTTGCCTCGCAATGGCAACCGTACCGTAACTCGACAGGGACAACTGTACCGACGGCCGTAACAGCTCACATCAGTAGGCTACATGGTTCACATGCATACATTGATCATACCAACCAAACATTTAAACACACGTATGGCATAGATAACTTTATAAGTAAACCCACCTGGTAAATCGGTAGAAAGGCACACAAAATCAAGTACGTAGAATGAGGCTCGACTCCTCAAACACCTACATTTAAGAGTGAGATCATTTATTAATAAACTATCTCACTATTCGAATTTATCATAAAACTCATACTTAATAAAAATTAAGACTTAAGAGTTTTAATCGAATTTTTCGTGGACTTGGAATTCTCTCATTTTGTAAAATAGGACCCAGAAAATTAATTTGGAGTCTCGTGACTTAAAAATATTTTTCTCAAATTTTTCTCATTTCAAAATAATTTTTATTTTTAAAAAAAATGAGTTTTGTACGAAAAACGGCTCTGGACTAAAAAATTGGCTTAAAAGCCAAATTGGGCTGTTATTCAAAAATTGGGCCAAAATGCCAAAGTATTTGGGCTAATATACGATAGATGGGCCGCTCAAACAGGGCCTGCTCAAAGCTGCCAGACGCGGGCCGAGGACGGGCCTCTTGCGGGCTCGCGGGCCTGAAGGCTGCAGAGGGAGATTCGGGCCGAAACGGGCCAAGTGCGGGCTTGACAGCCCGCGCTGCTGGGCAGGGGAGAATTTAAAAAAAAAACATATGCAGAGGCAAGGTTCGAACCCTTGAGCTCGCACGAAGTGATAAGCACAGTCACCGCGGCACCATGTGCCCGATTTGTAATTTAAAATGTAATCTCAAGGTACTTAATCTAAAATTAAAACCTGGGACATGACTGCAAAACAGATACAGAAATAAAATTGAACAGAGCTGCTAATAACATTCCCAAGAAATTACAGGTTTGCTCGGGACACAAAACGACAATTACACGGCTTGGAAAACGATAAAACGAGACTCCGTACTAGGATCTTACCACAGCTACATAACGATATACACGTTTATGAAATCGAGAGTTCCAGTCATCCCCGAAAATCCATGAATATACGAAATATACGCACAAATCAATAAATAAACCGAATGAAATCCGATTTCAAATCAATTTTCGGTAGACCGAACACAACATATATGTAACATGTGATATATGAAATCGACCGAAATTACGAGAGGATTTGAATATGTTACCTTTTTTCGGGAAACTACGAGTTATTGGATGGGAAACGAGTCATACAACGGGACAACGAACGGGCCTCGAAAACTCGGACAATAACCTCGACGGACGGGACCGGGACCTCGAAACTCTTCGAAACTGAACGTCACAAGAAACAGCCGGTAGGGAGGATGTCGCCTGGATGAACGGTCGAAACAAAAAATTGTTGCCGGAGGGAACTCGCCAGAAAATATGGAAGCTCAAGAGTGATGGCAGCGTGAGGGGAAATGACCGAGAAAAAGGAAAACTTATTCTCTTTCTGTTGCTTGCTCGAATAAGGAGAAAAGATGGAGTTTATGCACTAATTCAGAGATGAGATTATGAACGAGAGGGACAGAGAGTTCAGAGAATGTGAGTGTAAGAGAATAAAGAAGAAGAAGGAAAAGATATATGGTACATCTATCACTAACGGTTGGGGCATTAATCACTAATTCATTACCATCAAATAATGAAATAATGAGGTAAAAATAATTTCTTACTTAATGGCCATAAAGAATTAGTCCCGCTCACCTGCCCACGGTGGGCAGTGCCCACCACTTTATTTTATATGAAAAACGTATTTTGAGAATACGTTTTTCAATTAAATGAGGTAAAAAAAAATTTCTTACTTAATGGCCATAAAGAAATAGTCCCGCTCACCTGCCCACGGTGGGCAGTGCCCACCAAACGTATTTTGAGAATACGTTTTTCAAAAATTAATTGAAAAACGTATTCTCAGAATACGTTTTTCATGTAAAATAAAGTGGTGGGCACTGCCCACCGTGGGCAGGGGATCAAAATTTCATAAAGAAAAATTTGAAAAGATCGGTTATGGGCCCTGACCGGCTCGGGGTGCGGTTTCGTGGCTCACGGGCCGGATTTCCTCGATTCGATACTTACTATATTTCGGCTCAGTTCAATCGGAAGGTAAATTAAGTAAAAAAAAAAAACCGGAACATATATATATATATATATATATATATATATATATATATATTACACAATAATTATTATATATTAATAATTATATATAATACACACAAATAACATTTATATAATAATAATAATATGCACTTTATTTATTTATAATATAACATGTAGACAATTAATATTAATAATAGTAACATTACTGATAACAACAAATATTAGCAAATTAGCATTTAATAATAATAATAATAATAATCTAATTTATTCATAAACAAACGGGGCGTTACATGCATAGTCTATTGTCTCATAGACTCATAATGCGGAAGCTAAAACATGTTCAATCACACATAGTTCGCAACACATGTTCAAATATCGAATGACATCATAATGTTTATCAAAATAACCACTAGCTTTAGACCACCACCACCACCACCATGCTCGCTAGCTCGCCGCGCTAGACTCCATCACCTAAAAAGATAGAAAGTGGGGACGTGAGCAAAACCACTATGCTCCGTAGAAACCGGCACTGAATACGTATTAACCATAATAACATATCATGATATCAGTATATATATAAATAAATTGTACTACTCATACTGCAGACTCCGGACATCTGGCCGGTAATCATGCGATCACATTCTGGGGTCACCTACCACAGAAACCTAGTGCGGGAAAACATTCCACTCATCCAGGCGATTGACCTAGTCCTGGAAAACCTTTGACAAGACCTGAGACCGCTAACTCTAACCAAGTTGGTATCCACTTCTTTTCTTTTTTTGGATCTCGTCGAGCGGCATTTCTAAGCTATGTAAAACGTGGGATCACGCGCGATGATAATTGCCCTCACTAAAGAACAACTCTTCGAGAAAACCCCAGCTTCTGGGCGCCCAGTGAAAGAAAAATGCTTTTTGCTTCCTTCTGCCATCCACGTCACAAATAAATTGACCTAGGACAAGTACTCTCATCCATCCAGGTCACAATCTACTTACACACATAACTCGGACAGGATAAACGATTATAGGCAATGAAATATCCAGTATAAGGTCTCCAAATGATAAGCAGATAATGCAAGTGTTGAAAGATGGATGCGTAGCTGGCGGAGGCTCGACTCTACTCAAACTACAAAATATTTAAGAAATATATTCTAAGTCTTTTGCTCAACTTATAATACTTGTTCTTTAATCTCTGGAGTTTTATTGATCTTAATTAATAAACTTTTCATCTTGTCTTTACTTATCTGTTCTTACTTATTGTTGGGCATAGCTTCATTTTTAACTTATCTTTCAGCTCAATCTCTCAATGGCTTGGCGAGAATAATCATTTAATTGGCTAAGCTACTTAACTTCTATCTTGAGTTGTCTAGGGTTCTCGGATAATTATTCTAAGTCCGGAACTACATTTTCTAACTTAACTTGGTGTGACTCGGTTCGGAAAAAAACTTAGGTTTCGGCTCACGCTTGGACCAGAAAAATCTCGAACCAGAATTTTTCAAACCGCTCGGAGATTGTCCCGCTTGTTCGGTGACTGGATCGACGGCTCGCTCGTGAACCGACCGATCGCTCGTTGACCCAGTACAGCCCGGCTCGAACGCGCTGTCAAGGTCAGCTTGCACGACAGCTCTTGGGCATGCGCAGACCCTTGCTGGGCGCGGCCTCGTCGTCTCACAAGCATGGCAAGGTGTGCCGTGGGTCACTGGCACAGGAGAGCGCTCGTACCACGGCTGGTAGGATTCATCGGCGAAGACTGCGGCATGGTGGGGCACTCGAGCGCGCAGGCAAAGAGTGTCGCGGGTCGCTGGCGCGAGTCGCGCTGGATCGCGGCTGACCGACTGGCAAGTGCGCGCGGGCGCTGGGCAGAGTGCATAACACGACTGACATGTGCGGAAATGAACATTCCATAATCGTATTTTGAGATTATTTTTTTTTTTTTTTGGACCAAAGAGAGGGAGGGATAGGCTTAGACAGCTATCCTACGCGGGTATGCCACCCCGACAAGATCATGCTCTAACCACGGTTTCAATCCAATTGGCGGGAACTCGAGGCGGTGAAAACCTCCAGGGCTAGTAGCCGCCAGCGAAGCAAGGTAATCCGCCGAGAAATTCGATTCTTTATACGCATGACGAATAACCACCGTCCAATCTCGGTTCCTTAGCTCTTTCACGGCCCGAGCGAGGCTACCATGAATTCCCTCGACCTCTTCCTGGCCATTCATCAGGTCAACTGCAGCCTGGCTATCAACATCGGCCACAACACGTCTATATCCCAAGTCCCATGCTAATGTTACAACTTGCAACAACCTCCAGATCTCCGCACCCATAATGAAGCAAAAGCCTATGTTCATGATAAAACTCCCACAAAAACGACCAAAATGGTCGCGCAAGAGTCCACCGGCGCTCGCCATTCCTGTAGTGGTGTTAAAGGCACCGTCGGAGTTGCATTTCATCCACCCCTCCAACGGCGGCTCCCAGCTAATCACCTGGTCAAGGCGTTGGTGACCACTGTGCCCTAATTTCCGGAGACTAAAGCTTGCTTGTTGGATAATACCCACGTAATTTGAGATTTTTGGTTTTGCTTCTTTATAAGGATTTAATTAATTAACTAATTTAGTTCAATATTGTGAATTTGTGAGGACCTTATTTCTCCACTCATTGGCTGGCTCTCTCCTGTCCCCTTGTAATTTTGATTGCAGAAGAACACATCAAAAGGTTGTGATTTTTTAAACTTCCGGAGATGACGAGTATCCTCGCGAACCATCCTCCGACAAGTTTGCTGGCAGCCGGCGACAGATTCGGTCACCATCTTCACAAAGGAACCGATTGCAGGATTCTCTGTTTTGTCTGCTCGAACTCGGATCATCTTATTCGTTCCCGCGTTGTAAGGCGGAGGCCCTTTGACGATTCCCGTTCGGTGGTTTTATCTGCTAAATTGGATGGGGTTCGAGGAGATGATGATGACTCGGAGGATGATTTTGGAGAAAGCGGAAGCGGCCCAGTTAGTTGACTCCATCCATTTCTCTGCGCTCTGTCTTTCAGTTTGCGATTTTCCCTTTGAATAAGTCTAGCTTCCGACTAGTGAGTCGGTTGTAATTATGTGTTTTATTAATGAATTCTGTCGTTTTAAAAAAAAAAAAAAAAAAAGTCTAGCTTTCCATGTCAAATTATTCGCTGATTTACCATTACCTTTTTAAGTCTCATTGATCGACTGCTCGATGGGGTGTCTGGAATTGATGTTGGGTCCATCCGCTAAGCATTTTGTAGAGCCCTTTTTTGTGGGTTTGTGGCGCTGTGTTTGTGTTTTGAAGTGGTGGTGCCAAATTATTATTTAAATGTTCTTAGGGCCATCTTGATGCAAATGGTGAAGCTACTTGTTTATGTAGAATACAATTGATAAGTAACTGTGCAATTGTTATTTTGTGTTTGTCTTTTGTGCCCACCGTGGGTAGGGGAGCACTACTCCTTTTGCCTATGGGTACTTATGGTCTGGTAACAAGTGTACACTAACATGGTTGTTTCATGAGAATTTGGTGTCCCCTGCATCGTGGAGATTAACCGTGGCTCTTACTGTAATCTCTGGAGACTAACTGCTTAGAGAATCAAGAAATTGCTTGGTTGTTCATGCATACATGTGGATGATGGCTATTATTCTTTTTTTTTTTATCTTTATGATAATTTGAACTTTTTTATTCATTTATTTCGACTTTCGCCTGTTACCTTTCTGGGATAATGGGAACTTGAGTGTGCATGCATATTAGTTTTCTTACTGAGCCGTGTTTGTGTGCTATCCGGAAATGACATCCTAAATTCTGGTTTTTCAGGTTAGCAGTGACATGATTAGGGAAAAGCTTGAAAAAATTGTTGGGACGGATGACTCCAGTTTCAGTGGGTTAGATCTTGCAACTCTTATACGGAATAAATATGGGAGGTCATATGATGTTCAATTAATCAAGAAGGTGCGTGGAGTCCCTTTTCATGTATAACTAAGGATTGTATGGTCTGCAAGGGACTGGAAGCTCAGCATTAACTTTTCATACAAATTCATGATTTTTGTGTCTTTTATCTGTGTGCATTGTATATAAGTTGCAATATTAAGAGCATGGGCTCTATTTTGAGTTTAATTGAATTTGTAGGAGTTCATGGGCAGAAATCTGCTTGCAATGAATGTCATGTGGAAGTATATGGAGCAGGTTAGTTGTTTTCTCATTTGATCAAGGTAGAAAGGTTGTTATTGCTTTGAATAAAGTTTGAGTTTCCTTTTGCTGTCTTAGAGATCTTTCCCACTGACTGAAGAAGAATATATCTCGAGGCTTGATGATGTGGCAAATGCTTTGAAATGTTGGGGAGCTGTCTCACATGTAAGGAGCACTCTTGAAAAGTCAAAAGAACGACCTCGGATTGGAAAGGTTAGCTCTTGGCTTTTGATCTTAAACTTGACATTGTTAAGCATGCCATGCCTAACTAGTCAACTACTTCCATCATGTGTATGTTGCACCAAAAGTAAATAAGTTTTAAAGAACGAAGTGTAGTGGTTCTGGATAATGCTTTTATCGTTCTCTGATAAGTCGCACTATGTAAAGTAATGCAAGGTAGATACTGTATTCATGGATCTTTGATCACCATGTAGTAATGAAAAAGTACTTATTGTCTGGAGTATTCCTCTTTTAGTTGTGCTTTTCTATTCCAGCTTGGAGATGGGTAGATAGGTAGAGATATTAACTGGGCCTTATCGTAACCCAGAAAATTATAGGGCTAGATCCTCTGTTTGCCGGCTTGTTTAAATCTGGGCTTTTTTTATCCCTGTCGTTTAGGTCGTAGGTTAACTGGTTTGCCCTAGCCCATTTTTATTAATATAAATAAGATTTTTAATACCTATATTTGTTTTTGTTATAGGTAAAAGATTAGTCTTGTTTTTCTGCATAATATTATAGCATATTTTATTCTAAAATTTACTTTCATATTAAATTTTGTTATCATTTTATATTGAAAATGTCGTTGATTTACTCTTTTGTTTTTTGTAATGAGAAACATTTTTTATATGTCAATATTTCTTATATAATTTCAAGTTTTATTTTTTATTAATGAAATTATGTACATCTGTTTAAAACTGTTGTATATGTTTAAATAAAATATTTTAGCATTTGAATTTGCAAGTTTATAGATTTTGATAAATGGTCAGGTAGCAGCTCGTTTAGCCCGGAGCTCGCTAGGGTTAGAATTAGGTTAGCGTTCTTGTACTGTTTAGATCGGGTTTTCTTGATCAAATAAAAAATGCCCGTTAAGTACTCTGGGTCGTATATCAACTCAAGGTAATTTCTATGAAAATGAGAAATAAATGTGATTTTGGATTAATTTAAAAGAACGAAGAGTGTCGCTTTATTAGGTTGGTATGCAATCTCAGTTGAGGTTGAATTTGAGGGAAATCCAGAGAGATCCAAAAAGTCTCTTCTGTAGGGAAAGGGGCTATACTTATCAAACCTTCAATTAGAAGGTGGAAAGATAAAAATCTTGATGACAATTTTGCATCCGTCTAGTCTCCTCTTGAGACTACTGATAAACTTTATTAAGTAGTACCGATTAAATCTGTTCACTAATGCTATGTTTGGTAAATATAGCTAATAAGCTAACTAATAGCTTATAAGCTAGCTGATAAGCTACGAGCTAGCTGACAACTTATGGCTGATAATCTAGTTGATGTTTATTAAAGATGTCTGGCAAAAATAGCAATAAGATAGTTACAAATTATAATTACTTAAAATCTAAAAGTATATAGTTATACGAATAATATTTATATAAAAAAAATATTAATATTATTATTATTATTATTATTTCCATTGATTATTAAAAAATAGCCATACAATTTTCAATAAAAACGAACACTAATTAATAGTAGCTTATAAGCTAGTTAAAAAATAGAATTACTTAAAATTTTGAAGTACATGTTTCGCTTAACAATATTTATAAAAAAAATTATTAGTATGATCATTATTATTTCCATAAAAAAAATAAGCACACAATTTTCAATACAAACAACACTAAGTAAAATTCACTTAAGAAAGATAAATATTTTTGTTTTAAAAAAAAAAAAAAAAAAAGAACCATACAACCTATATTTTTGCACTCCAAATCATCTTTGCAATATCATTGCGGATATTTTTCATGACATTGTTAGTTTCTCTTGAATTGTCGTAGCCAGGATGTAAACCAGATTCATCTTGTAGTTCATTATTGGGTTTGTACTTTGGATGCTTCTCAAGCACTCCAAATATCATATCATCATCTGAAATGTTCGGAATGAAGTTATGCAATGCAAATGCCGCCATTATCACGTCAATCTATGTCTCAACACTAAACTTCAGCATTTTACTTAGTATTTTACATCTCTTTTTCAATACTCCAAATGATTTTTCGATGCAACTTTGAAGAGATGAATGAGCTCGGTTGAATGCTTCTTCTGTATTATTTGGCAACTCATGTTGGAATTCAGACTGATGGTACCTTATCATTGGATAAATATCCTTATCGATCTGAGTATCTCTTATCAACTAAGTAAGGTTTATGTAAACTTGTTAAAAATAATATAATTTAAATTTAGAGGACATATTTTATATTTATTAGGACACAGTTATTAGGAAAAAAATATAAACTACCTTCAGGAGATTTCGGGAAGTTCATAGATGATGTCTCTATTGCATGAAGAAAGACACGTGTATCATGTGTTGATCCTTCCAACCTAACCGATATAAATGTAAAACACATGTCGAAGTCACATGGGGCCATGGCATTGAAAGTAGGGATTCATTTTTTTCTTCTATAGCCCAATTTCTCTTTCTCTGGAATACATGTTTCAATATGCGTACCATCAATACAACCTATGCAATCCTACATACATATGAAAATCGTTAGTCTATGACAAAAAGGAAAATTACAATCAAATAATTAGTACTCTTGTGATTTGGAAAAGACTTATTATCTATAGAATTATTAGATGTATTAGGTGGTATGAATTGAAAAGTTGGATCCTTGGGTTTAATAGCAGACCTTTATATTGTCTGTTTCTCTTACATATTGAATCTAAAACCTCATGAAATGTTCTGCTAATTGTTTCTCCTGAGCGTTGAAATCTCTCACTAGCTTAGAAATTCCCAAGGCAATGATATATACAAATATACCAACTTATGAACTGACATTCTATCACTTGCTTTTAAACCATACTTCTCTTTCAATTCTTCACATAGTCGCATAAATACACTTGAACTCATACTAAAAGAATTAACGCATCGAATTGGATGTCCGGTTATTTCATCCAAATCTCTCATGTTGACGACGAGACGTCATGCATGATTCTTTTTAGATATGACTATAGAAATAGTAAGCAACTATCGAACTTGTTTGAAGACTACTCAATTCTAATAGTAAAAGAATTTTCTTCCTTTGATCATCGTCCATGGTGTAGCGATTAATCATACAATGGAGAAACATTTTTATTAACATAAGATTTCCAAACAACAAGAGAATAGCAATAAAACAAAAGTTAATAATGCGAAATTTACATACTAGGTCGAAAAAACGCATAAGCTATGAAATATCTAAAAATTTATATTCGTAATGAACTAGAAGTGCATATAAGATAAATCAATTCACCAACTATTTCTACAGTTTAAAAAATGTTCTTGGCATGCATAAACTTCAACCAAGAAAGCCTAACACCATCATGGTCCATCTTTAGAAATATTTCTCGATTCACAGAATCTCGAAGCACGCAAATCGAATGGCAACATAGGTCACTACCCTCATCCATCCCATTAGCTGTCAAATTTTTCATAATATCCATAACTGATTGTACACTTGCTCCATATGTATTGTCATTGCCTTTGGTCGTACCTTGTTTCTACAATCCAAGAACATTAGACTGTGACTCACTTATTTGGTCTAAGTGATGTTTAATCATTACAGATCTAGCTAATTGTCTCCTTTTACGCTTCAACTCTTTGACTCTAGCGGACATTGGGTTCGGTTTACTTGATTGAGTACCTTTTGAGACAATATTAGGAGTTGTGTTGGCATGAATTGATGATGATCAAGATCATTACCATTCACTAAAGCAACAAAATCATTCCAAAAACCGTTCTCTTCTTGTTCCAAGCCTTCTAACAGATAAGAGTATTGAGAAAATACTGAATATGCATCACTTCCATCCACTAAATTCGCATCCACCTCATTGTCTTCATCATCATCTATGTTCACAAGCTCTTTATTGTTCAAAGATTCATGAATAGCGGAAGGTGCTACATGATCTAACCCAGTTGCATAGCAACTGTGCCTCCAAATAGATGCCTGACCTCACTGTTGTTCTTCAAGCGAATAAGGTATTGTCTTATTACGAAACTTCTTCGCTTCAGGCTTCTCCTGCATAATAAAAATAAGTTTGTGAACACTAGATACGTATTTAAAACTTTTAACACTTGAGCTTAGTGAAGAAGCAAAGAAGCTTCGTAACAAGACAATACCTCATTCTCTTGAAGAACAGTGGGATCATCTTTTTAGAGACACAGTTGTTAATGGGTTTAGATTGTGTAGCACCTTCTACCATTCATGAATCTTTGAACAATAAAGAGGCTTTGACCATAGATGATGATGAAGACAATGAGGGGCATTTGAATTTAGTGGATGGGAGTGATGTTTATTTAATATTTTTTCAGTACTCTTCTTGGTTAGAAGGCTTGGAACAAGAAGATAACGGTTTTTGGAATGATTTTGTGGCCATAGTGAATGGTAATGATCCTGATCATCCATCAATTCATGCCAACACAACTCCTAATATTGTCTCAAAAGGTACTCAATCAAGTAAACCAACCCCAATTACCACTAGACACAAAGAGTTCAAGCGCAAAAGGAGACAATCAGCTGGATCTGGATCTGTAATGATTAAACATCACTTAGACTAGGTAAGTGAGTTACATTCTAATGTTCTTGGATTGTTGAAACAAGGTACGCCGAAAGACAATGACAATGCAAAATAGAGCAAGTGTGCAATCGTATATAATGAAAGGTTTGGCAGCTAATGGTGGGATAGATGAGGGTGGTGACCTATGGTGCCATTTGATTTGCATGCTTCGGGATTCTGTGAATCGAGAAATGTTTTTGAACATGGACAATGATGGTGCTAGGCTTTCTTGGTTGAAGTTTATGCATGCTAAGAACATTTTTAAATTGTAAATTGTAGAAATAGCTGGTGAATTGACATTTATCTGCATCTAGTTTTATTACAAATATAATTTTTTTGGACATTTTATATCTTCTGTGTTTTTTGGACCCGTTATGTGAATTTTGCATTATAATTTATTTACTTTTTTTTGCGCTATTCTCTTGTTTATAAATCTTATGTTAATAAAAATGTTTCTTTATTATATGATTAATATGTACACAATGGACGATGATCGAAGGAAGAAAGTTCTTTTACTATTGTAATTGAATAGCCTTAAAAAATGTTCGCTAGTTGCATACTATTTCTATAGTCTTATCTATAAAGAACCATGCATATCGTCTTGTCAAACAGGAGAGATTTGGATGATACAACCGGACATCCAATTTGATGTGTTAATGCTTTTAAAATGATTTCAGGTGTATTTAATCGATTATGTGAAGAATTGAAAGACTATGTGACAGAATGCCAGTTCATAGGTTGGTATATTTGTACATATCATCGCCTTTGGAATTTCTAATAGGGATATGCTATTGAGAGATTTCAACGCTCAGGAGAAACAACTAGCAGAGCATTTCATGAAGTTCAATAAGTGGAAGATGCAGAAAATATAAAGGTCTTGAGCGTAATGTTATTAAACTTAGGGATCCAACTTTTCAATTCATACCACCTCATATATCTTATGATCCTAAAGGTTCTTTAATAAAAAAATAAATAACCGGTGCAGTGATCAATAAATTTGTTCATGACCTAGTAAATTAAATATTATTTGATTATCGGTGTTATACATGCTGATTTAAGAAACATATTGATAGATGTGTGAAGATCGCTAGGCTCGTGTTCACGTCTAGAATAATGTTTTTTGTAGTTTACAGGAGGAGGATATATTTGCAATCATTTGTTTCTACTTTCTGGTCTTCTGTTGAGTAACCAATAGGAACACTACAGAGAAGCTTGGATTATTTAATTTGATTATTCTGGACTTGTGCTCGTGACGATGAGCAACTTTGATGTGTTAGAAATTTACTTTGATTTGTTTCTTCTGGATCAATTCTGATACTCAAGTATTTTCCGTTGTTGTTTCAGGCAGTAAGCATATTTATAGATATGGATGAGTCTGGTGGACGCGCAAAGGAGTGGATATACAAGTAACTGCTTTACTTCCTAGGGAAGTCGTACATTGATGAGATGTTGATGGTATGTATGCTCTCTAGATCTTTTCAAACAGCGAATTTCTTTCCTTTTTTTCTCTAGTCGTTTGTCTCTTATTCAGAGTGTTGTCATTTTTGTGGAAGCACTTGCAAAGCGCCACGGTACGCCAGCCGCTATTTGGCATATAATTACAAAACAGGGCTGGCTATCCTGCATTTTGGATAGTGAAACTGAGATGAGCTTTGACAGCATGGTTTGTGATCTTCAATGGCATTTGTACATGACGAGCATATTGTCTTGAATTGGAAATGCGGTTTTTGTATTTTTATAATGTATTTTGCACCTAATAAATCCCGACTGCTCTCTGAAAAGTAAAATGAACGATCTGGACTTAATGTGAGTTGAAACGTTGGGTAATCAAACAATAAGGCCAAACATGCGGACAGTGTTGTGTTTGACAATTGTAGAAAATAGTTATGCTATTTGCCTCCTCGTGTTGTCATGTAAGGTCAATTAGAGTGTTCCTGGTGCGCGTGGAACCGTGGATGTATATGTTGTTGGAGTGTCTTTAGCAGGATTTAAAAAATCAGAACGATCACCAAGCAATAAAATTATACTTTACATACTTCTAGAATCAGTAGCCTGAAATATTTTTTAATAGTATATCAGTGATATTGGTGAAATTTTGAACAAAATTATATCAGAAAGCTCGATCAATCATTATTTTTGCTTCTTTTTTTTTTTTTTCCCTCCACTCTTCAACATCTTGTCAATAGCAAAGAGAAAGGCAACAAACGATGCATTTGAACTTCCGATGATTGTTAAGACGAAGCAAGGTTAACTCGATTGAGATTTTGTACAACAGTAGAAAAATCTGCGAAGCACGAGACAAGACTGTTCTGAGAAAAGCTTCAATTTGCCGAACGATCTGCGACAAGCATATTAAAAATGCATAATTAGAGGTGGCATTTTACTTGAAATCAACACACATGGGGATGGCGACTATAAGTCTGAATCTGATGAAGATTTTTTTTTTTTTTTTTTAATGAAATGTTAATCAATGATTTGGTTTGATTATTTAAAATTTATGTTCCATATACAAGAAAGTGATGGTCATAGTAAAATATTTTTTTAGTTAGACATTGTTGTTTATACTATACTACAAGGTACAAATATATCATACGAGAAATACTCTCTTACCCACGGTGAGAACATATTAATATGTTCACCGCTTAAATAGCATGCATACATTGGTGATGTGTTTTTTTAACATATTAACATCATCAATGTGTGCATGCCAACATAAGCGGTGGACATATTAACATGTGTCCACCGTAGGTAGGGGATCATGATGTATATAGCACTGTCAAATGGACCGGGACGGGCCGGCCCGCGGTTCAAACGGGACGGGCCAAAATGGCCCGCATTTCTACGGGCTGAGAAATCCATGGCTTGTAGCCCGCCCGCATTAGCCCGCGGGCCAAATCGGCCCGCCCGCGGGTTTTTTTTACTAAATGTTTTTTTATTGTTATTATTATTTTTTTGCAATTTATAATGCAATTTTGGTTTTTAAATTCAAACTATAAAAGGAAAAAAAAAGTGAGAATTGAATACGAATTACTTGTACAACATTTTGATCTCGATGGTGACCATATATTGTGATTGAATTGTGGTAAAATGCAAAATGAAATTAAAAACGTTCATCCTTTAATAATTGGCTATCTATATATATATATATATATAATTACTAGCTAATCCCATTTAATAAAACATTTAATAAAAACATTTTCACTTTCCCTCCAACAGAAGTTACATTTTTTTTAGTTAATTACTCCCTAATCTCACATTTAAGAAGGTTTCTTTTGATTAAACCTAATTAGTTAATGGCTAAATTAAAAATATTTCTTTTAGTTAATCCTACATTTATGTTTTTTATTCTCATTTATATATATAAACGTGGTAATCATTATTGTTGTGTAGAAACTATATATTATTATTTTTTATTCCATTATGGATTGAATAAGCAATTAAAGTTATAAAAAAATAAAAAATATTAATAAGTGTAATAAATACAAACATTATAATACAGATCATGTTATATTACAATATAAAAAATAATTATTTTTTTTATAATTTAATTTCTAGCCATACTCCATCAAACATATAGCTGCAAAATGATTAGAAAGATTAGTTTCATAATTAAAATAAAAATTTAGCTCCCCCAAATGGTAAAACCTTATAAATTAGTAGTATAGATACACATTTAAATGACATATAATTTATAAAGTTAGACTATACGCATAATAAGATGAATTAAAAAAAAATTAATGAATTAAATAAATAAATTAACCGTCTATATAATTATTATAGCAAAGTCTATATTGTCAATATTATCATTTAAAAAGTTCATTGAAAAAATATATGTATAAAAAAAATTATATGATCATAATTAATAGTGCAAAATTAACTATCTTTGACTTTCCATTTGGTAGTAATAATAAAATACTTTATATTAGTACTATTCAATAAAATACATGATTTATGGAGATTTGATTATTGCAATCAACATTTTGTTTTATAAATTAAAAAGTGTGTTGAATAAATTGTCTCATATTTTTCATTAAAAAAACTGTTGGTTGTGAAAAAAAATATTATTTCACAATTATAAATATAAATATGATTAATTTTCATTAAATAATTCCTCTTTAAGAAAAAAGTGGCGAGACAAATTTTTGCATGATTATAGCATCAAAACATATCCAAAACATCAATATTTTAAAGCATTAAAACCATATACTTTCAGCAACAGAAAAGTCATATTAAACAAAAATTGTCAAAGTCAAAGAATGAGGATTGATAAGACATGGTATGTAATGACATTGTCTGTAATGGCAGATTGTTGTATAATATAGAAATATCAAGCATAATTAATAATCAACAAAAAAAAAGTCAAATCTATATGAAAAAAAAAAAAAATCAAAATTAAAAACACAACAAATTATGTGGAACATTATTGGACACTATACAATAGAGAAAAAATAATTTGTTTTTCCTATCATTATCAACACATTTAACTTTTACCAAGGTATCTGCCATTATATTAAAATTGATATTTTGCGTAAAAGTTTTAAAAATAAAAATTCCTACAGATTCTTTTAAACATTAAACAAGAAATTTCTAATATGCGTAAATATATCTAAACAGATTTGTTATAAACTTACCTATAATTTGAACAAAGTACTAAATACTTTGAAAAATTTCGGCCAAAGATTTTGAACAACTTCAAAAAGCGATTTTGAACAAGTGTTAGCAAAGCTTCACTTACTGATATGATGAGAAAGACGAGAAAGAATTGAACTATTTAGTGTTCAAAATCTGAACAAAGTACATAAATGTTACATATGTATGTTATAAAGAGATATGAACAGATATGTTTTAAACTTACCTATATATTTTTTAGTAGAGCTGAACAGATCTATTAGAAACTTACCTATTTTTTAAACCCTGAACAAAATACATAAAAGTTTGAAAATGTTCGACCAATGTCATGTTCTCTTCGAAATACGATTTCGAAAAACATCTAAATAATTTCGAATTATGTATAAAATATGATATATCTTTGAAGCTAATTCAAAAAGAATTTCGAAAAACGACACAGATCATTGAAAATAATAAAAAATAAAAACTATGTTTAACAAAAAATATTTCAGCTCTTCATAGATTTGTAATATTATCGCCCGATTTTGACCGACCTGTTAAGATTTAGCAACACATATTAAGAAATCGGGATGAATATATATTTTTCGATCACTATTGTTGGCCACAAAAACAACATTTCTCAAATGATTTTTTTTTTAATTTTTTAAGCATTTACTGGGAGAAAATCTCTAGTAAAACATTTGTTTTATATTGAATCTCACCGAGTTTGTCGTAAGATCGGGTTAAGGATTAGGATTTCAGATATAGTGAATAACGAAAGCAGCGCCGACATCAAACAAAAAATTTGGCTTACATCACTCAAGGAGTTTATCTCTATTTATAGTCATGTTAATATGTTATCATCGACATGTTTTATATTTGATTTTGGCTACCCTAAAAAATTAAGTGGACTTCTAATTTGGGCTTTTTTTATCATTCAATCAGTATATTTCTTTATGGCCCAAAAATTTCCATTTTGTTCAAATGTCCTAAATATTTGGCACATATCATTATTTATCAACCAAATACAATAATTTATTTTGTAATATTTTGCTGGTATTTTTTTAGTATTTTTTTTTTTAAATTTTCTATATGATCTATAGTACCAACTACAATAATTATTTAAAAAAAATAAAACCATTATATGTCTTAATTTGAAGATAATGATTTGTAGTTGTTGTTATACGATTTTGTAACAACAAAAATGTACACCCCTATTCTGTGAATAGGAGGTGTAGGGTTTATATGAATTTGGAGAGATTATTTTGTGGGATTTGTGTTTTATTTCTTCTCTGTTTTTGTTGCTGAAGAAAGTACAGATATGGGAAGAAAAACTGAGGCGGTGCCTCCTGTTATTGATAAGGGAGAAAATGAATGAAAAAATCCCTCAGAAGGCAAAAATTGTCCTTATCCATCATAGGGAGTTTATATATATAGATATTTATTGGGCCCGATATTATCGCAAGCGGTATTATTCTTGGGCTTTATCAATAAGATAAAATATAATAATTGATTTAATATATATCCACATGATTTAATATATATATCCAGGTGGACTAACTTAATAGGCGAGGCCAAAATTAGGTAACAACAGTAGGCCCCCGACTTTAGAATACGTTCTGAATAGAACTGTTCTGAAGTCGCATGTATAGTCAATTTTGGCTGACTTATGCTTTATAATATGTTTGAATGATGTGACATATGAATGTCGTCCGGGTACTTTGGGACCCGTAGTCGCTTTATTGCTCGTGTTCAGGCTTCAGCCTGACTTATTAATGTCAATCATTTTATTTGTTCTGATG